AGTTTCTGTTTTTGTTTCAGATTTCCAGCATCCACAGTTTTTTTTGCTTTACATTAAGCAACCAACTGGTTTTCTAAAATTTGATTTCTTCTTCCGCCGCTGGTTTTAATAAGCTCCTCAGAATCTAGCTCCAGTGCTCAAATAGCTGTGAAACTAGATTGTCCATGTGGGAAGTATGGACTGGATGCAATCCATCCAAACTGCACCGGGTTTGTTTTACAGTTCAAAGATGATAGACAATTATCTGATTTCTCTTCCCACTTCAGTTTTCAGAAGTGTGATGATGGGCTACATGCTTTTAATCATCATTGTACTTACCAGCATAAGATTACATAAATCCTACAGCTTAAAATTAGCCACTCAGCCCCATGTAGGGATTTGGCAACAAGAATAGTTGTTTAACGCTGTGAGATCATGGCTAATCTGTGACCTAACTCCTCACACCTACCTTAGCATCTTTCGTAATCTTTGGCTGTAACTTCTCTCCACTGACCCTATCAGTTCCCACTAACAAAGAGTCACAGAATCATACAACACGGTTCAACCAGTCCATGCTGACCATAATCCCAAACTAAACTAGTCCCACCTGCCTGCTCCTGGCCCATATCCCTCCAAACCTTTCCTATTCATGTACTTATACAAACGTCTTTTAAATGTTGTAATTGTACCCACATCCGCCACTTTCTCAGGAAGTTCATTCCACATGCAAACCACCCTCTGTGTAAAAAAATTGCCCCTCATGTCGTTTTTAAATCTCTCTCCTCTCACCTTAAATACATACCCCCTAGTCTTGAAATCCCCCATCCTATACCAGTCATTATTTTATAGATCTCTATGAGATCAGCTTTCAACCTCCTACGCTCCAGTAAACAAGTCCCAGCCTATCCAGCCTTTCTCTAACTCAGACCTTCCATACCCAGCAACATTCTGGTAAATGTCTTCTGAACTCTCTCCAGCTTAATAATATCCTTCTTATAAACTCGTATCTTGAAAACCTTGATCAAATTACACCTTGCCTTTCTAAATTCCAGGAATACAATCTTACGTTGAGTAATCTTGCCTTGTATTTTAACCCTTGGAGCCTAGGTGATATTAGAAACATAGAAAATAGGAACAGGAGTAGGCCATTCAGCGAAATGAAAAGGAACAGGAAAAGAATCAAAATAAAATCCGAAAGAACCACAGATGCTGTAAATCAGAAACAAAAACAGAAATTGCTGAAAAAGTTCAGCAGGTCTGGCAGCATCCTGTTCTGAGGAAGGGTCACTCGACCCCCGAAACGTTAACTTTGATTTCTCTCCACAGATGCTACCAGACCTGGAAAAGAATCAAGTTGTTATTAATTATGGAATGTGAACATCACTGGCAACCTCACTGATAGCCCATTGTCAATTGCACCGAGAGATGGGGAGCTGCCTTGTTGAAGTGCTACAGTCCGTGTGATGTAGGTACAGCCTCAGTACTGTTAAGGAGCAAGTCTCAGGAACTTGACCCAGTGAAGGAATATGTCGGAGGATGATGCTCCTATGCATCTGCTGTCCTTATCCTACTAGGTGGTAGAGGTCATTGGTTTTGAAGCTGTTGTCAAAAGAACCTTGTTAAGTCACTGCAGTGCTTCCTATTGTAAGTGATATATATTAGCACTGCCTCTAGCAACAGTGGTTGTTAAGGGAGTGAATTTGAAGGTGGTGGATAGACCTCTAATCAAGTGTTTTGTCCTGGATGGTGTCTAGGTTTATATGAGTGTTGTTGGAGCTGCACTCATCTAGGCAAGTCGAGAGTATACAATCAGACTCCTCACTTGTACCTTGGAGGTGGCTTCAGGGAATCAGAAAGTGAGTTATTCGCCACAAAATCCCCAGCTTCTGACCTGCTCTTGTAGCTATAATATTTACATTGCTAGTTCAGTTCAGTTTCTGGTCAATGGTAACTCCCAACATGTTGATGATGAGGGATTCAGTGATGGTGATGTTACTGAACATGAAGAGGAGATGGTGAGAATCTTTCTTATTGGGGATGAACATTTCCTGGCACTTGTATAATGCAAGTATGACTTGCCTGAAATAACAAGGTGTAGAGCTGGTAAAACACAGCAGGCCAAGCAACATCAGAGGAGCAGGAAAGCTGACGTTTCGGGTCTAGACCCTTCTTCAGAAAGACCCTTCTTTTTCTGAAGAAGGGTCTAGACCCGAAACATCGCTTTCCTGGTCCTGTGATGCTGCTTGGCCTGCTGTGTTCATCCAGCTCTACACCTTGTTATCTCAGATTCTCCAGCATCGGCAGTTCCTACTATCTCTGACTTGCCTGAAAGTTGTCCACATCTTGCCGATTTCAAACTTCTTCAGAGTCTGAGGATTCACAAATGGTGCTAAAGACTGTGCAGCCATCAGGGAACATTCCCCTTCTGATTTTATGGTGGCAGAATGGCCATTGATGAAGCAGCTGAAGATGAATGGGCCTAGGGCATAAGCATGAAGCTCTCTAACATCTCTTTTCTTCATTTAGAGTCAGGAAGAAACGTGAATCCGTGTATCCAGTTGGAAGCTTTTGTGAGGAACCACAGCTTGCTAAGAGAAGAAAGTTAGAATCACAAACATACAATGCACCAGGAGGCCATTCAGCCCATCATGTTGATGCAACTCTCCTAATGAGCTATCCAACTTGTCCTACACCTCTTGCTCTTTCCCATAATATTTTAAAGCATTTAACCATTTTTCTTTTGAAAGTTATTGTTGAATGTACTTCTACTGTCCATTCAGGTCACAGATTCTGGATCATTATAATTCATTACATTCAAATTGTCTTATCTTCTCTGTGGTTCTTGTAGTCATCTGGTGACAGATTATCCACTCAGCAGAAGCAGTGTCTTCTATTTGCTCAAACAAAATTGCTGAAGGATCTCATCAGGACCCCTGTTCCATTGATCCCAGTGGCTGCTTGGTATCTCATTCAGTAGCTTATTCACTTGTGATGCTGGACAATGCATTAGTGCAATATTCAACCACAGAAAGGGAGATTTAATGAAGACCAATTCTGTACTCACCTAATAACCAGATCATTTCCTTGATTTCTTTCATTCTCAAACCCAGGAGCAGAAGGTAAGTGGTGCCTTGACTGGAAAACATCTAATTCTGTGATCGTGTGCACAGCAGCTCAGACTAAACTTGATTCTTCCTGCAGTCGCAATTAGTCAACAAGCAAACTCATTTCAGTCACAATCCAGAGAAATAAGAAAGTCAGAGCAAAAACTGGAAAATAGACAAGAAACTTCAGTTGCTCGAATAGATTGGAAGAGTTGGCATTGTTGTTCCTGGAGATCAAGAGGAGATTTGAGAGTTGCATGAAAATCAGGTGGGGCACAGAGAGGTCGATAAGGTGGAAGGATTGAGGAGGAGAAGTAACAGATTTCAGGTAAATTGGCAAAAGAAGCAACGAAGACATGAGGAGAAATTTTTTCACACAGCCATGGGTTAAGATCTGGGAATGTGCCACCTGAGAGTATGGTGGAGACAGGCAGGAGAGAGTTGGATTGTGATCTGAAAATGAAGGACAAACAGGGCTGTAGGGGAGAAAGGCAGGGATTGGCACTAGGGGCATTGTTCATTCAGAAAGCCAGCATGGACATGATGGGCTGAATAGCCTCTTTCTGCGCTGAAACAATTGTGATTCTGTGAAAATTAACACAAATTCATTTTCACACAATGATAAGCCAAAAGTAAACACCATCGTTTTGAAATCACTCAATGTTCCATCAGCATGTATAAACCACTCAAGAACGTAAGGCCTTTCTCATCCATTCTCAGGACGAGGGCATTGCTGGCAAGCCCAACGTTTACTGTCCACCCCTAATTACCCTCGAGAAGATCGTGGTGGCCTGTAGTCTTGAATTGTTACCGTTCACACGATAAATTGTTGTTGGTGTAGATCTATCTTTAAGATTATAAAACACACCAATGTTTCTGTCCTCTGTTCCTATCCTGGCCCACCTGCTGCTAAAAGCCCCATTCCTGCTGTGTTACCTCCATACTCGATATTTTCCTGGTCAGATTCCCATCTCAGCTCATCTAAAGCTCCACTGTCACTGATCTAACGCACACCGAATCCTGTTCCTATCACTCCTTTGCTCACTGACCTACATCGATTGCTGGCTCAGCCCAAAGCTAAGATTTTTAACATAGAGTCAGAGAGTCTTACAGCATGAAACAGGTCCTTTGGTCCAACTCATCCGTGCTGACCAAATTTCCCAACTAATCTACTCCCACTTTTCTGCGTTTGGCCATATCCCTCGAAATCTTTCCTATTCATGTACCTGTCCAAATGTCTTTTAAATGTTTGATTTGATTTATTATTGTCACATGTACCTAAGTATAGTGAAAAGTTTTGTTTTGCATGCAGTACAGGCAGATCATAACATACAAAGATTATAGAGTGATTGAACAGATCGAGGAATACAAGTTACGGCTCCAAAGAAGAGATAGTAAGAACTGCAGATGCTGGAGTCAGAGACAACACAGTGCAGAGCTGGAGGAACACAGCAGGCCAGGCAGCATCAGAGCAGTAGGAAAGTCACTGTTTCAAGTTTTTTTCTGAAGAAGGGTCCCGAACCGAAACGTCAACTTTCCTGCTCCTCTCATGCTGCCTGGCCTTGTGTTCCTCCAGCTCCACTGTGTTGTCCACAACTCCAAAGAAGGTGCACAAAAAGCAAGATATTTAGAATTGAGCTTTAAAAGTGCAGAACAAATGTAAGAAGTGTGAGAATAAGATCTGCTATAGAGAGCTCACAAAGCAAAGTTGTTACTGGGCTCAAAATATAATATGGATGGGAGGGGATGCCCTTCAGAATTCAGCGTGGATCCAATGCACTGAATGGCCTGCTTCTGCACTGTAAAGACTTTAGATCTTTTCCCACTATTCGGTGGCCTATTTGATAAATTGAAATACGTGGTTCTTAGTGAATATTGCACATTGTACACCTTGTAAAAAATAAACTCAGCACAAACTAGTTTGTAGAAGCTTTATTAATAAATTTTCTACATTGTATGTCTCTACAGGACAGAATGTGAAAAGCATTATTCCTTCAAGTTGCACATTAAAATGTTGCAGTTGTTTGTTCACAAGTGTAGTTTACAGATAAAGAAAGACTCCAGTTTCCACAGACGTGTATTGGCTGTTAACTACTGGAATTGTTTCAGCAGTGTCACAGTTTGCAAAAACACATGATCACTGCCAAAAAGGTTATAGATATGTGTACTAGAGCTGAGCCACATCAAACTGTCCTCTGCTACACTCAAGCGCAGTCCTGAGATGTAATTCTCTTGCTGAGGAATAATGCACATGGCACAAGGTCCTGGCTGCAGCATTTTCTGTGCAGAAATGTGAACAAATGGGAGGGCTTTGGTCAGGTGAAAAACTGCGATGCTTGAATAGTTGAGTAGCCTGCTAGCACATTTTGAATGGCCACTTGGTCAACACATCAGCAATGCGATTGGACTTGCAGGACGGATCTGCAGCAAGAGGTAACACCTCCAGGACAAAGCAGGCTGGGCCAGGAATTCATGCAATCAACTGAAGTGATAGGACAAAAAAAAAAGTACATATATGCTGGAGATCTGAAATAAAATCAAAGTGATAAAAAAATCTCAGAAGTCAGCATTTGAGGGAGAAATGAACTGATATTGAGTCCAACATGACTCCTTCAGAAGTAAAAACAAAAATGAAACTTTCCTCAGCAATCAGAGCTCAAAGTCTTGGCCCATGTTTAAAAGATCGAGTGCTAGGAACTACATTGTTCACAGGTTTACTGTACATCTGAGGGCAGTGGTTAATTCAAAGACACCAAAATAGGATGTTTCAGGAAGAATCATAGCCCTTTACTCAGCTCTACTCAGACAGAGACCAGGAATAATTGTTTAGAGTCTCTCAAGGATGCACATTTGTGACAACAATCCCAGATCACAATGATTCTCGGTCAGACAGCATGAGGCTCCCAAGTAAGTATTACAGAAAATGATTTTTAAAAATCCTTAGAAAATAAGGGGAAAATATACAGGCAGCTGGCAGTGATAGTAAATATATTTGGCTGCATCAGACAGGCAGCTTCCAGTCAGACATTCAGAGCTGTCCTGACATTCACAAATTAGTCCATTAATTAGTGAGGAGTGTTTTCGATTTGTAATCAATAGACTGCAAACAGTAAAACCCACTAGTATATTTTTTTTAAAAAATGCACTCTACATAGCCCCTCAAACACTGTACAGCTTAGATATGGAACAAAGCTTCCTGTATACTGACACTCAAGTGAATGTAACACAATGCACCTTTTAGACTTTTTTAAAAATTATTTCCTACAGCAGCGCTCATGTGTGCCAAGCAAGATTAATAAGATTAGACATCCAAACTGGGTTTAACAGATTTACTGCCAGCTCTAAAACTCCCAGACAATGAATAAGGTCGTTAGATCTCATCCCCTTCAGCGTTAATTCCCAGCAGTGAGATAGGAGAGGAAAGAGAGGGAGAGTAGTCAGCACGAAAGTGAGCACTCTGACTGACGTCAATTAGTGAATTCAGTCTGTTCATATGTATTCAACGCTGAACTCATTCCTGTTTGGTGTCCATACAATCTCAACCTGAGACTGTGGCCTCTCTTTTTCTATTGCTCTGTTAACATCTAATAGAAAATGCGCGAGTCATTTTAAACCTATAGCCGGCAATAAATCTTGTATGAGCTGCTTTATATCAGGGGAAGCGTGAAGTACAAAACAAAACAATCATTCAGAAAGCAAAGACAGGGCTGACTTCAATGCACAGGAAACACTGAAGGTCACGTTACAGAGATAAAGACACAGACCGCATTTTTGGAGCTTCTGCTATTTGAAAGTACTGAAACACTGGAAAATCTGCAATGATCTAAAGCTTACCTGCTGAAAACATGGTTCATAAACAAGTTTCACCTTGAACAAAAATTACATCCAAACCTTCAAAACACTTTTCTCACCAAAGATTCTAGTTTTGAGAATACAATCCTGTAACTCTGAATTTGTTTCAAAACTCAAATAATTGAAACAGTGAAAACCTAATGGATCAATTTTTAAACTCAAATTTAAAGTCATCTCTGCTCAATGAAAAACTTAAAACTCCACTTTCAAAAACCTCCAAGTAACACTGATTTAGTTTATCCTTAGATGGCGCACGCAATTAAGATGCAAGCATGCATTGTGGGGACTGAGTCACATATAGGCCAGACCAGGTAGGGATGGCAGGTTCCCTTCCCTGAAGGGCAGTTGTGAACCAGATGGGTTTTTAATTACAACCTGACAACTACGTGGTCACTTTACCTGGTGCCAGTCCATAAATTACCTGATTTTGTGAAACTAGTTTCTCAAGTTTCCATGGCAGGGAGTGAATTCACAACCACTGGATTGCTCATTCAGTATCAGATCCCCAAGGCTAGCCAAACCCATTTGATGGCACCTGGATGGGAGGCACGTTGGCTTGTTGCATCTTCATGAGGTGACAGGTGGAAGAAGCAAAAGGGACGGGTGCTCATAATGAAAGCAGGTTTGTGTTTCCTGCTCACCACCCAGTAGCTCCAGGTGCAAAAAACAGGATTGGCCTCGGCTGTGAAGCCGCTCCACAATTAAATGGACACGACCCTCAAAAGGGGAGATTCCAGTGGCCAGGCAGTGTCCAGAGAGCTACGCTTCTCGGAAGACTGAAATTAAACCGCGACACTAAGTGGAAGAGATTCAGTGCATTGCCCATGCACTGGGAGAGGGAGGGGGTTTTTGTGTGGAGAGACAGAGACAACCAACAGTAAGTTGACTTCCACCACTCTTCCGTTCTACACGAAACCGAAACACTGTGTACAAACAGGTAGTTAAGTGGGAGCCGAACAAAATACCTAGCAGTCTTAACTCCCACCCATCCCACACCAGGCTGGAGTGTTTTCAAACAAATTCAAAACAAGTACAAACTCCCATACATCTGAAAAAGAATCACAAAGCAAAGCAGAAACAAAAGTTTAAAATGTGCATAATATTTTTGTAAAGTGTACCCACAGACAGACACATGGAGTGAGTAAACCAGCAGTGTGCAAGGTTACACAACAGCAGAGAGTTTAGACAGTGAATTTTAAAAAAAATAATATTCTCTGGGACGGAGTGAGGGGGTTGTCTGAAACTCTGACACTTTTGTGCTTTTCCATCAAATTTCACTTTTTGCTGCTGTCCCTCTCCCACACCGAATTTCACAGTCTCAGTGAAACACCGTCTGTCGCCACTGTTTGTCCAGGAGGTAAGGCCAGAGACAGCGTTGCACTCCAACTCGGAATGGGGTCCGCTGTCCAATCCCCATCCTCTCCAGGCGCGAACAGTTGAGCTGGACATCCCGGGGTCGAGAAGCACCAGCAGCAGGACAACCTGTGACCTGGACAGGAGAGAGGCTGTCAAGTGACCATTTCACTGCGCAAAGTCATTATTATTTTCCACAATAAAACCTGAATTTAGAAAGCACCTTGAACCGAGGAAAATGTCCAAGGTGCCTCATGGGAGCATAAGATCAGACAAAACAAATGACAGCAAACCAGGGAAGACATTAGAAGAGGTGATCAACACTTGGAGAAGGAGACAGGCTATGGGTGGGCAAGGGACAAGGAGCTTGGGGTTGGTAGGGCAGGCCATTACTTGGGTGACATCAGGAAGCATATCTTCACATGAAGGGTAGTGGAAACCTGGAACTCCTTCCCTTCACCCACAGCCTACCAAAGCTGTCTCAGCTCAACATGCAAGTGGCTCCTGCCTGGGCATGTTCTGGAAGCAATGGGAGAGAGTGGGGAGGCAGCAGCTTCAGGAGCAGTGATGGCATCGTGGCCCAACACAAGAAGAGCTGGTAGTGAGGGAGGTCACCCAATATCTGCAGCAGCGTTGAGAACAGGCAGCTGAGGTCTTCCCCGAGAGTGAGATAAGCGGAGGACTCATCAAGAACTGTTGAGCTTTTAACTTAATTCCTTTATTTTTCAATTCAAAACCAAGACAGACTTTAATGTTACCCATTACCTTATTTCTTTATTTTTCTACTTATTTCTATTGCTTAACTTTTTAACTGTTTCTCTTATTACTTTGGTACAAAGGTACTTAGGTACAAAGATGACGCTGTGTGTGGCGACATTATACATTTTTCACTGTGCTCCTGCATTTCTGTACTGGAGTACACATGACAATAAAATCTAAATCTAAAATCTGTTGAGGACTGCAGGTTAATTAAAAATGTCAAAACAGAGATTGTTAGATTTTATTGGGAGGCAACTTGTTAAACGTAAAGCAAACAAGACAGAGTGGAAAATATGGATCATCCACAACCTTACTAAATGACAGAACAAACAGAGGGGCTGAATGGTCTACTCCTATCCCAAGGAAGTGTTTACTCTATAATTTTTAATCACGCTGGGTGAAAAACACACCCCTCGAATAGAACAGAAGAAATCGGGCACAGTTGGGCCATGCAGCCTTGCTGCACCATTCAATGTGACTGTGCCAGATCCACTTCAAACACAGCCTTCCAGCCCAAGTTCTGATCTGTCAATTCTTCCAGTGCCCAAAATGTGATCAATGTCAACCCTGACTATTTGCAAGTCTAGGATGGTGGTGTGATGGTGATGGTGCAGAAAACTCCAAACATTCAGTGTTCTGAACGAAGGAACTTCAGTATTAAATGACAAAAACTCATCCTGAGACTGTGACCCTCAGCCCCAGACTCTCTGAGGCGGGGGGGTTCTCAGCAACTTTCAACTTGCTACTACGTCATGGCATTTTCCACCAACAGGATACTGCTTACCACAGAATTGAGCAGTGCTGTATGAGAATTTCACTGCTAGTACAATGCCAGACAGCATACATCTCAACTGGCCAAATCAAATTAAACATGTTCCTTTGGCTGCACACAATAAGCAGAGTACAGGCTTTGCTCCAATCAGTTCGTGCAACACAAAACATCTACTGAGAGAGATGGTTCTACGGCTGGGCAACCTTTGTTGAAAAATCCAGAGTTTGCTAACAGATACACTAAAAGCCAATTTAAGATAATCAGTCAAGTTTATTATGTTAAAAACTATAAGAACTGCAGATGCTGTGAATCAAACGCAAAAACAGAAATTGCTGGAAAACCTCTTCGGGTCTGGCAGCATCCGTGAACAGTAATTAGAGCTAACATTTTGGGTTGAGTGACCCTTCCTCAGAATGTTGTTCATTTATGCGGGCTGGAAGTAAAATCATTCCTAAGGTACAATGTCAAGAGGGGTGCAGAGGAGATTTGCCAAAATGGTCCCATGGATGGGGTGTTTTATTTATAACGTTAATGTGGTGAAGCTGGGATTGTTCTCCTTGGACCAAAGGAGATTGAAGAGAGAGTTAACTGAAATGTACAATGTAACAGGCTTTGATAACAGCTTTTGACTGTTGCTTTTACAGGATTGAACAAGGGTGAAGGGACATAGTTTTCAGAGTTTTGGCAAAAGACACAGGGGTATGTCAAGAAATCCTTTACTTGTTAAAAGCAGCAAGTGGCAATGAGCTAGAACTTGCTGCCATGAGGGTAATGGGTGTAGAAAGAATCGATAATTTCAAAACAAAATTGAATGGAAACGCAAAGGAAATAAATCTGCAAAGCAAGTATAGCCAGGTGGGGAAGTACGATTGACCGAATTACTCTATGGGGAGTCAGCATGGACTCAATGGGATCAGTAGCCTCTTTCTGTGCCTAACTATATAAATGGAGGTGCTTGAAATTCAGGAAGGATTTGGTAAATTATTAGAAGACAAGTGGTGTGGTGGAGGCTGGTACAATTACAGCATTTGAAAGGCATCTGGATGGGTATATGAATAGAAAGAGAGTTTAGAGAGATATGGGCCAAATGCTGGCAAATGGGACTAGATTAATTTAGGATATTTGGTCAGCATGGACGAGTTGGACCGAAGGGTCTGTTTTCATGCTGTACAACTCTTATGACAAACCACGTCCAGCGGCAAAGGTATCAGTAACAAGAGGTCACAGATTGGTGGTAATTAGTAACAAAAAGCCACAAGGGAAAATGACCATCTCTTAAAATAAAACACAGCAAGTTGTTGCTATCATCTGGAATATACTGCTTTGAAGAGTGGTATCAGCAGGTGCAACCTAAACTTCCCTAAAGGAATTAGATAAATTGGCAAGGGAAAAAAACTGCAGAAGCAGCAGGGTAATGGGACTAATTAGATAACTTTGTGAACCAGAATGAATATGGTGTTTCAAATGGACTGTTCTTGTGATGTAAAGGTATAAGATAACATCACCATAAACCTACCGGACAATACAGCTGCTCTCCCATTACAGAGAGATGACCGACAGTGGTTTAACCTGGGGGGGTCACCATGCCTCAGGCAACGGGAGGGGGAAAAAAAAAAATAAAAGTCCTTCATGGTAAGCTCAGCCAGTGCAGGAACTGAATCCACATTGTTGGCCTCACTCTGTATTGCGAGCCAGCCAGCCATCCAGCCAACTCAGCTAACCAACCCCCATTCTGTAGGACTGTATCAAAATGACAAGGGAGAATACTGGCAGGTTGACAACAAGTTTACTAATATTAAACAGCCACTTTCAGCTCTGAACATAGAGATAGTCAAAGCCTACAGCACAATAATGCAAAGTCTGCAGTTATGATCTAACATCAGTGAACACTCAGTAATATTTATGAGCCACCCTGGACATATGATGAAGAATTATGTAAAAGGTGGTTTTTAAATGCATCCGACCCCGAGGTTCCATTCAGTTCGTTAGGGAATTCCTCCTCGGTTACTGGACATTTGCACCACATGACTTCCTCCTGAGTGACAACTTGGAAAATCAGAGATTTTCCTGTTGAAACTAGAAGAGTTCACAGTATGGTGGGTGCGAAGTTAAAAGCATAACCATGCATCTCATGCTCAGATGAGCGGTGACCTCAGTATTTCCTACTGACAGACACAGAACCAGATGGTATGATATTTAACAACACAGTCCTAACTGTTGTTGATTAAACTTAAGCTGAGTACATGAATTTCCTGCTTTCACAGAGAATCAACATTTTCAATTTCTTTTTACAACAACTTGCTGGGACATGTAATGACACACCTCTGGGCCAGGTGAGACTTGAACCTGCACTTTCTGGCCCAGAGCTAGGGATAACACCAATGCACCACAAGACCCACATCAGTGTTTTAAGGCTAGAGTCAGACCAGCAGCTAAAAAGGTTTGAAAACCAGAGACTTAATTCCTGTAGACTTCACCTGTCCAGCTGTCTGAGAAATGTACACCAATTAATAACATGCAATTCCATAGGGATTGGAAGGCTGGTGTCAACTGACATAATCTGTTCCAAAACAATGACACTGGAGGAGCCAGGAGCAAGAATGAATAGCTCATAACAGTTGCACAGCAGATATCTTAATTGTATTAAGAGTTCAGGGCCGTATTTTTATTCTACAGTTCAACTGCGCTAAGTCTACCAACAATAGAGATGGGAAAGTGCAATTTTTTAAGATTTATGTCTAGCCAAGTAAAATTCCACTTAATCTCTAAATATTTTCATAGATCAAGCAAAACAGTGGAATGCTGAGGGGAGACGGTGAGACTGCCAAGGACAATTGCTGAAACCACCATTTATGGCTGATAAAATGACTTGTGTAAAGCAAACAGTTGGCAGAATACAAAGATGGGGAAAAAATAATCAGATATCAATTTGTTTCATTTGGAGCATGGTGGAGTTTGTCAAGACCACAAGTGGTGCATCAGACCATCATCCCTGAACCTTCTCATTGCCACATGTCATTAGTAGCCACTGTAACCCATTCAGTTCATGTATCTGGCACCTAATGGAATTATCCAATAGCAGCTCTACATGTATGCCTACACTGCTTCCATTTCAGATTTTAATTTAATTGCCCCTTATTTTATTTACATACATTCAGGTGTGTCAATCAAATGAAAAAAGGGCAACAATGACAGACAGAAGTTGAATGAGGAAGTGAGCTGGTCAGTGAGTTGTCATGTATATGGAGATAAAAAGCACAATGTCGACATTGGGACACACTACCAACTGGAGCAGCTTTCAAACTTATTTCAATGTCCTGCTCGACCTAGCTGCAACAAACCCCCACCTCCAATTTTTTCTCCCGTTAGCAGGCTGCCCTTGGATGCATGACCTCACCCATTCTTCACCTACAAACCTACACTTTTGAGTATTACCAGTAGATCAAGGGAACATCACTGGAAGCCTGATTATGCACAACCCACACTGGCCTCCAGCTAGGATTTCAGCTGTCTGGACACATAAGGAATTAAACATCAATCTGGACCCCACAACAAGCAATTTAGAAGGAAATATATTTCTCAACTTCATTTTCATTGTACTTTTGTGTTTGTCAGTTACGAGAATGTAGTTTGGAGTAGGAGGACTGATAATCATGCAGATAACTAAGGCCAAGCAGACAGGGAAAGAGGGACAGGTGATTCAGATAGTGGAGACAGAGGAAGAGGGATGAGCTTGGGGACCAGCATTTTCTGCAAGCCCAGAGCATGGATAGGAGGGATGCACCAAGAGGACCTTTCTACAGAAAGTAAATACGTGTTTTGCGACAGGGATCCATGAAGTTTTTATAACATGGGAGGTTGGGGGCATCTGAGGAACAAAAAAGGTTGAGATTCCCTGCCACATGCAATTAGTTTCTCATGGTGGTAAATTATTAGCTTTACAGCTGGGGCACACAGTCTGACACTATCTCTAATGCAGACCTGATCCACTAGTGCACCATCCAGGTTCAATTGGGCACAATCTGTCTAGGTTCAAGAACAGTACCTGGGTGCAGTCTGACCAGATTCAATCACAGTTTCCAGTCCAGGCCACTGTACTATGAGGAAATATGGAGCACTGGAGGTAGAGTGAGTATTAACGCAAGCTTAGTACATGGTGTTAAAAAGATAGCAGGAATGACTGTGTAAGTCTGATGGTCAGGGTTGGAGGAACAGAGGAACTGGCTAAGGGAATGAGCTCCATCTGCAGAGAACATCCCTGCAAGGAGACCACTGGAGTGCGCAAGATAGCAACTGGCAAGAGAAAAGTAAATCTTAAAAAGAAATTGCTTTAAACTAACCCATGGGAACGGCACCTAACGAAGTGAAGTCACACAAGAGTACAGTACAGAAATAGACCATCTAGTCCAATTTGCCCACAGTGGTGTTAATACTACACAAGAGCCTCCTCCCATCCTTTAGGATCTAAATCTTCTCCTCTTTCTCCCTCAAGTGCTAAACTGACTTCCCCTTAAATGCAATCTGGTGATCTCCTCAACCATTCCCTGTTGTGAAAGTGTTCCTCATTCTTATCAATTTCTGCATAAAGTAGTCTCTCCTGAATTTATTGGTGATTATCTCATGACAACAAGTGGAAACATCTTGTCAATGTCTACCCAATCAAACACGTCTATCATTGCAAAGATCTCTTTTGGGTAACACTTTAACCTTTGCTTTTCTGGAGAAATGAGCCACAGCCTGTTCAAGCTTTCATGACAAATATAATCCTCTCAGCTCTGGAACATTGTGGTGAATCTTCTATGCATCTTAGCCAGTGTTTCTGTACTCTTTTTATAAGATGGAGATAAGAACTGTTCACAACCAAGGTTCTATACAAGTTTAATGCAACTTCAAAGCTTTCTAATTCTGCCCCTGTACCTGTCCCTGTCCCCACTGCTTAGAATATTTTTGTTTGAGGAACAACTTGCAACTTGTAGCAATCTGTAGGGCTGTATCCCTACAGCCCTCTGCTCATCTTCCCATACTTGTATATTCCAAACAGTATATGGCCTCCTTATCCTTCCAACATAAAACCTTGGACAGCAAGTTTCCTACGCTAAAGGATTTAACTGGAACAGTTAATTTTTCTTCTGTTGCAATCCAATTGCTTCATGGTCACTTTTACTAACAACAGCTTTTTAAAACTCTTAAAACTGCTGTCTGAGCAAGGATCTTATTAATTCCCCATCTCGAGCCATTTTCTTGAACCACTGCAGTCGATGTGATTAAGACAATTCTCACAATGTCATTAGGTAGGGAATTCCAGGACTCTGACCCAATGATAATGAAAGAGTGGTGATAGAGTAACACTGGGATTTGAGCTCAGACTCAACGGATCACTCATCCAGTCACATTACCACTGTTTGTCCACACCTATTCTGTAAGCTACTGGGTGATCAAAAATAATACTTTGTTCTAGTCAAAATAGACAAAACCAGAGGTGTCTGTATACAAGGTGGCAGTACCATCCTTCTTTCTAATCATATGTAACCAATGAATGTATCTGATGGTTAACTGGATTGAAGCAGGTGGTATCTCACTCCTGCCAGAGATTCAAGGGTTCATTTGTCACTATTGTGGAGACCCTGTAATAATACTGTCACCTTGGTGACTCAATAGAGATGGTGGTCACAGAAGAGACAAACCCGGTTTACAGACACTGATGAACCAGCCAAGATTTCCCTACAATGTCGACTCACATACCAGAGTGATAGGACTTTCAGAACAAACAAAGTGATGGAAATCGACACTAGGTCAGCTAGCTGACAATACAAGTACATATCCCAACAGAAATCCCTGAACTCTAACCACTGCTGTCATCCCTTGCACTCAGAGGGACAGGGACCAATCAAAATTTCACTCATTCTTTCAGTCCAGTGGAGATTGAGATCTGGGGAGGGCACAGTTGGAGATGGTTGGCGACGGTTGTGGAACACAAGTGTTGCATAGTCAGACCTGGCACCACTCCTCACCTGTAACCAGGCAGGTCTATACTGGGACAGCAGCCATTGCCACTAACACATTGTGGAACTTGATATTTTCAGTGACATTACAACTGGGCAGAAACCTCCAGTACTTACTGGTCGCAGGTGGTTGCTTGGAAGATGGAAAACATCTGCCATTGTACAAGCCATCTCATATTTAGTCATTCGCTCATTCCCAGACCAATGGAAAACTCCATGGATCGATGGGTCCTATTGAGAGTCAGAAAACAGGAAAAAATTGTGAAGATGATAAACGGTAAAAACAAATCAAGAAAAATTCAAACAATTTGAAACAGCTTCATTGAAGATCAGTGATATCAATTTTATATTAAACTGTACTAATGATGGAGCTATAAAAGCGACACAAAGTGATTATCAACTCTTTGAGAGTGATCCCACTGTGTGGTGTGGTGGGGGGGGGGGGTTGGCATGAGCACATGAACTAGAATGTTCATGCAAACACAGTCATACAGTAATAATTTTGCTGAACTAATGACCCACAGACAAGTTCAGATCCCACCAAGGCAGCAGGCAATTTTAAATCCCTTAAACTGGGATTTTAAAAACGACTGTCATTAATGGGACCACAAAAGAACTGGGCTGCCACAAAATCCCACGAGTTTACTAACATCCTTCAGGAGAAGAAATCGACTATCTTTATCTACTCCAGTCCTCAAAACAATGAGGTTGACTCTCAACTGACCAAACAAGCTCCCGATTTTTGTTTTAGATTCATTAAAGGCATAGCAAGTTCAGAATTCCCTCTACAAAGAGAGGGTTGTAGAGTTATACAACACCAAAACAGACCCTTCGGTCCAATCAGTCCATGCCGAACAGAATCCCAAAATAAAATAGTCCCACTTGGCCACTCCTGGCCCATATCCCTCCAAATCTTTCCAATTCACGTACTTATCCAAATGTCTTTTAAATGTTGTAATTGTGCCCACATCCACGACTTCCTCAGGAAGTTCATTCCACATGCGAACCACTGTGTAAAAAGTTTGCCCCTCATGTCTTTTTTAAATCTCTCTCCTCTCACCTTAAATACATGCCCCCTTGAAATCCCCCATGCTAGGGAAATGATACCTACCATTAACCCTATCTATACTGCTCAATTTTATAACCCTCTATAAGCTCAACTCTCAACCTCCTGCGTTCCAGCATATCCAAGCTATGTTTTTATGCATCAAATTGCCCACTAGCAAGAATAGCCAACTGGCCAGGATGAGCTGCCTTTACCAGATCAGTGGTCAACGTGTTAAATATTTTATCAACTTTTACACACGTCTGACATGGTCCAGCCTAAAACCCAAACAATTTATAATATTCCCACAAATTATGAATATGCATTCATTGCGCACCTTCACATCACCTGCTTCACCTTCTCTTAACTTCTTTTGAATTGCAGACAATTGCAGATATTGTAGAAAACAATGATCAGCAAAAGAGCAGTGTGCATTATGCCTACCTGCATTCTGCGTTCTGACAACTGCCTACACACTCTGGCCACATCAGCAACATGTGTGGGATATTGCTGCTGCCAGTGGTCTATGCAGGCAACTGTGCTGTGACACTGGACTTTTCCAAACAAGGAAGTGGCTGAACTTTCCTCCAACTTCTCTACATTGCCATAAAGGAGTGGGACCCGGAGCACTGCAGCACCTGAAATCCAGAGAAGAGAGACACTCAATATCTCCCTGCATTTTAAACAGCGTGAATGCTGGCAAGGACTCCTCCTCAACCAACTCTGTACAGAATGAAGTTTTAGCCTCTTACATGTGCACCACACATATGTGAACACCATTCCACAGACCCTGCTCAGCGAAAGTTAACACCTTTCTGCACGATACACAGGGTGCATGCTCACTGTATATCACACGTCCCCGAGATCATACACTGAAACAGTGATCATGCCCCCACAGGATACAGGGAGACAGTAAGCATGAGCCCCATATCATACAGAGACAGACAAGACAGTGAACACTTCCCTGACCCATAAACAAAGACTGACAGTGAAGATGTAGCTTACTTCATTGAAATAGTAAACAAAGAGAAGATTTAAAGAGGTATAGTAAAGGTCAACACAAATCTGGAACGACCTACAGCTACCTATACCTCGACACTTATCATTTATCACAGCGCTTTCGATCACAGAGCGGACTCTGCTTGTGCTTTGAAAGATTCATTGATTTAGTCCCATGTTCTTATTGACTCTCATTCCCTGTTGGAAACAGAGAAAGGATATAAGAAATACAAGAATACTGTGAAGGAAAATACAGGTAGTTTTTGAAGGAGTGGAGAGGGCAAAGGGAAAGCAAGAGTGCAATAAATGAACGATTCTCTCTACATTAAAGGGGGAGGGAAGAGGAGACAGGAATAAGTATTTTGAGCAAAAGATATAATGGAAATAGGAGATATACAATTGGTCATGTTGGCAGATTTAGGGAAGACTGATCAAATGATTTCCACAGTCCAAGGCAAGAAACTGCCAGGAATCTGGTAAATAGAACCCATGAGTCGAGATGCAGGTTGCAATCTCTCTAGACAACAGTGTCTGTGACAGGTTGTTACAGGAAACAGGTCATAACTTTGTTTTGCTGGAAGTTTTCACGTTATTCCAACTGCTGTATATATTTAATTTTTTAAAAAATATTTCTCCTTTGGTATAATAAGCTTATGTCAATTGTTAAAGGAAACCTGCAGCCTTGTGCGAATGTGTGTGACTAATTACCACATTAATTAATGGAGCAAAAAAGAAAATGAACATGTAACCTCTCAAACCAGGCTTCATTTTGGGGTCTAACTTGCCCAGTAGTACCACCAGCTGGGATCATAAGAGTATATCCTTCTTTAAATATAAAAATCAAAAATTGTACACTATATACCAGCCAAGGTCTCACCAAAACTTTGTAAGCGAAACTTTCTCGCTTTGTACTCATCTCCAGCTATAACCAACATGTCATTTGCTTTTCTAATTGCTTGCTGTACCCACTTGCTAATTTTGTGTTCCTGTGCAAGTACACCCAAGTCTCACTGAACATCAATCTCAATAAATTTCGTAACTTTCAGAGGCATTCTGCTTTTCTGTTCCTAATACCAAATACATCACACTGCCCCACAATACTCCATCAATTACCCTGTTGCCCACTCTTTCAATTTGTCCATGTCCCTTTGCAACCGGTGTCCTCCTCACAGCTCACATGCCAATCTAGCTTTGCATTGTTAGGAAATTAGATACATAATGTAGTATCTCTAAGTTATTAATATGGATTGTAAATAGCTGAGCACCAACACTGATTCTTGCAGCAACTCAAATGGTTGACACACTATGCTATTAAGACTGAACAAAGATCTTTGGATGTTAACAATGTGAGCGAGACAGGACTCAGGCTAAGTACTGGACAACACGCACGAACACTGGTGGGGAGACAACACAAAGGTAATGGATTATTGAAATGTTTTCGATTATAGTTGTGCATATAGAGGTGCATGTTTCAGAGATGGCTTCATCCACATTTAGCCATCTCAGCCCTGCACAGGGGAGTAGTTTTAGAAACAGATAGTATAATTGGGCACAAGAGACAATCTGAGGCACTCCTGAGAAAGTATACAACTGAGAGGCATGCTGAGAAGGTTTTATGTTGGGAGTACACACTACTGAAAATGGAACATACTTACTTGTCTTAAACAACAGGAGTAGTGAATCCCACAAATAACATTCCTTCCAACTGGGTCACTGCTGCATTCCAATTATCACCAACCTTATGATCCCAGAGCCAACCACAAACACAGCAAGGGGGAGTTAGACTCTTGTCTCACCTGGATGATTTTGCAAAACCACTCTCTCTCCTTCTAGCTTGGTTTTCCCATACAGGTTGAGGGGGTTTGGAGTGTCATTTTCTCGATAAGGAGGATGCGATCCGTCAAAGATGTAATTTGTGCTCACATAGATCAGGAAGGCTCCAATTTCAGCTGTAAAGTATGGAGGAGACAATACTTTAAAAAGAAATTCAAGAAGTTTTCAACAGGTCAAATAATGCTCATTTTACTTTAATGCAAATCTCTTTGGGCCAAAGGATAGTCAACACTTCTCCCATTTTCTTATTCATTTCTGTCCTGAAGACAGTCCTGGTTGGGGTATAGCTTCTCCAGCACCGTCCCATGTTATTTGTTGATGATTATTCATTCTTTGGGTGCATGTGTTGCTGGGAAGCAATCATTTCCCATTCATTCACAGCTACCCTGCAAAAGTGGTGATACAATTAAGTAACTCAGTACTTCAGTGAGTAATTAAGAGTCACAGATTGACAAAAGTGGGCAAGAACCAGCAGAGGTGGTGAGTTCAAGCCCCATCACAGCAGTTTCAGAACCAGAGCTCAATTTTTAAAAAAAAAAAAAAAATCAAACAAACAAAAAGCCAGCCTCAGTAGAAGTGACAATATGGTTGTCAGATTATTATAAAAATCTGGCTACTTAACCTTTAGGGAAGGAAATCTGTCACTCTTACCTAGTTCTGGCCCCTATGTGATGTCACCCTAACATGAATGTTAATGACTCTCAACCGCCCCTCAAAGTGGCTTAGCAACACAATTTGTATCAAATATGCTATTGGTGGTTCAAGGGCAGCAAACTCTCTGCCACCAACACTCAGGTTAATTTCAGATGGACAATAAATGCCAACCTTGCCAGCCCAAAGTCCACCACCCAAGTGTGAATTAAAAACTTAGTTGAGAACTTGAAACAAGTCGCATGATGGGCCTACAAACAATCTTTCATCAAGGAATCATTGACGTTTATGTTTTATATATGCAAACCCACAAAGAGTTTTAATACCTGACTCCTTGGCTATGCATCCCGAGGCGCTTACATTCAACTGCCTGGTATATTCAGGCTGAGTCTCCGCAACATCAGGTCTCCGTTCCGCAGCACAGTGTATAACAGCATGAGGCTGTAACAGGATTAACACAAAACAGCAGTTTTCAACCAATTACCAGCAGCATTCATGAAGGTATTCCTATAGATTCTAACAGCATAGCTTGAGGTCATTCAGGGAAGGCAGGGAAAGGAGCTCTTATGCTTACTAAAGCAGGTGATCCAGCAGTTTCAGAGTGAGGAGAATTGATAATAGAATGGGAAATGGAGAAAGCAGGCTTAGCAGGTCCTTCCTCAAAGAAGTGGACAAGTTTTTTTAATCCAGGGCAATAAATCAAAAATGTGCAATCTGTGTAACCTGAGACTATGCACAAATCTAACAGACACACACCCTGTCTTCTTCCTTCAGGGAATAATTTGTTACATTGTACTGGGGTAGGGAATAACTGGAGCACTCCCCCCACTGCAGAGTGTCAGCAAACATTCCCTAGGCAGGTAGAATGTGGGGCAGGATATAGAGTAAATGTTTCAGCTTTGTGCATGTATGATCGAAACGTATTAGCTGTGACCGCACCAATCTGCAGTAGTTGTTTTTAAGGTGACAGCTTTTAATGCTTAGACATTGGTGACAGTTATTTTATTCACTTACGCCTGTTGTCTTGCACCAATTTAAATACTGTTGTGTCTAGGAAATTAATGCCAGTGCATTGTGGCTCCAGGGTTAATAGAAAGTTGATAATTTGATGATGTTGATGAACTATTTCTAATTCTAGTTGTCAGAGAAAGTTGAAATACCACATACGTCAACACAATTACAGAAGGAAGGTATTGTTATTACTTCAGCATGGCCTAATAAATTAATGAGAATAAAAATGCAGGCCCAAGAACCAGAAATTAGCACACGAATAAGAAAAAATATTTTGACCCCTCCTACTGAGGAATGCTCCCTTGATACACTTCAAACACCCCCATAGCAGGTATAGCACAGGGTTAGACAAACATTAAAATCAAACAAAAAGAACTGCAAGTGTTGGAAATCTGAAACAAAAACAGAAATTACTGGAGAAATTCAACAGCTCTGGCAGTATCTGTGGAGGGAAAGGAGAGTCAACATTGCAGGTCCAGTGATGAGGGGCATTGGGTATAACGTTCTGCCAAAGAGTCACCTTTTCCAATACAGTCTTTGTTCCAACAAACAGTACTTGATTTACATTCCACGAGTAATCCATAAGGTCATTGATTAAACAGATACATCGTAGGCCAAAATTAAAACAGTGTAAATAGTGTAAACGTACAAATCATAAAATTGTAAATCCTGGGAGTACCAGGAAGGAGAAACTGTACTTGAAAAAGTGACTGTAAATAAATAGCACTTTTGTTGCCTAAAACCACCATGGCGAGAAGAAAGAATCGAACAATATGCCATGACACAGCACAACAGACATACATGTGACAATAAATAAATCTAATTTAACATGTGCCCAAATCTTCCAATTACAGTCAGGAAAGATTCAACTGACAATAAACCTATTAAAATGTATCCATTCACCAGTCAGTGACTTTTACAGCTAGACTTCAGGAAGTGGTTGATCCCAGATGCCTTCATCGTAGGAAATCAGCTTCGACTTTGTACATATCAGCATATATCCCTTTTTAAAATATTTGAAAGTGCCAAAGCTCACTTTAAAGTAGGAGAGGGAGCAGGGTAGGGTGAATCAAGTGTAAGGGATAGGAGGGCTGTGTTAGTTTAATCCCTCAAATAATTCCTCACTGTCAAGGCAAGGAATTCTCCAAAGACTCCTTCCTCTGACTCAGAGATGGGGATGCTAGGTAATCACCCACTGAAGATTTAAACTTCCTGGTCAGTTACGGCGTAGTCAGTGTGTTTTAACTTCAGACAGCTGCCAACACATCTTTCAGGGTATATCCAGTATCCAACTATCCACAGGCCGGAATACTGGGACCCAGGTGTACTAAAGTCTGATGTATAGCAACAATACCTATAAATTATAGAAACATAGGAACACAAGAAAGCCACTTAGTCCCTCTAGTCTGTCCCACACAATTCAATGATGTGGAGGTGCCAGTGTTGGACTGGGGTGGACAAGGTCAAAAGTCACAGGATACTAGGTTACAGTCCAACAGGTTTATTTGAAATCACATGCTTCCAGAGTGTTGCTCCTTCATCAGGTAAAGTCACTTCATCCGATGAAGGGGCAGTGCTCGGAACGTTTGCGATTTCAAATAAACCTGTTGGACTATAACCTGGTGTCATGTGACTTCTGACCTTGTCCATTTAATGCAAGACCTAATGACAGGTACTAAGCTTTTGCCATATTCCACAATACCTTAGTTCAACAGAAATCTTTAAACTTCAGATTTAACACTTGCATTCAATCTGGCATCAACTCTTGTTTGTGGAAAGAGTTCTAATCTACGATCATAATTTTTTACACTGGTGTGTTTCCAACCCGGACTTCTGAACTCTCCAGCTCTATTGTTTAAGCCACATCCCCTATCCCTAGGCTCCTCAACCAGATGGAACAGTTTCTCTCTATCCAAGATATTGAGATGAGCAATTTGAATAGAAACCCAATCAAGTCATCTCTTGATCTTGTAAATTCTACAGGAATACAATCTCTCCTCACAAAAACTCTGTGACCAGGATGCAAGAATCATTGCGTAAATTTATGCTGCACTTCCTCCCAGACATATCCACACGAGGTACCTAGAACTGAAAGCATAACTCGAGAATTATGATGGGTTTGGGGGCAGGTGGGTTTAGATGTGGCAATAATGGGATTGAATGAAATTATAAAAGCCTGGTATTTGTTCTCCTTGTTGTTTGGATACAGAAGATTGCATGATGATTGGGTAAAAATATTTATATTTATTAAAAACAGGGATAAAGTAGACGGAAACATACTATTACCAGAGTTTGAGGGTCAAGAATAAGATGTCCAAAGATGACACATTTAGGACAGAGCAGAGAAACACATTTTACACCAAGGGTTGGAGGAATGTGCTATTGGGGTTTGTGACTCTGCTAGTTAAGCACAGACCATTTCAACATTAATAATAGATTAAATGAAGCAAGGAATAAAGGTAAACATGGAGTCACACACAATTAGGATGCTGTTTGGAGGGAGAAGAAACAACACTGTTTAGGCTATGGTTTAATTTCTAGGTAATTAGGCATCAGTAGGCAACACTCTCCTTTGCCTCTCAATCAGAATACTGTCAGTTAAATCTCACTCAGAGACTAGAATACAACAAATTCCAGACTGGCAGACAATTACAATAATGAAGGTAAACTCCACTTTCAGAATTGTTGTATTTCATTTGAAATACAATGCTGAGGACTGGTCCACCTTCTCAGCTGGATATAAATGATCCCACAGCATTATGCAAAAAACAGCTGGGGAGTTCTCTAAAATATTCCAGGCAAAATTTATTCACCAAATAACATTAAGACAAATGATCTCATCATCATTTTGTTGATGTTCATGGGATTCTGAGTCCAAAAGTGACCAATGTACTTCCTAAATTATCATAGTGACTACACTTTAATGGCTACAAAGTAATCCGAGAGGTCTTAAAACCATGACAGGCTCAATATAAGCTCAAATTCTTCAATTCCGTGCAGGTCCTTTCATCCACTAATCTGTGGCAACTTCAGTCATGATCCCTATTACTTGCTTGCTCCCAGATGAAGACAACCCAGTCAATGCGCCAGCTAGAACGAGGATGTTTTTGGATATACGTGAAGACAACATGGGCCTTTCCTGTCAACTAAGTCAACGAACAGTCAGTGAACTTTAAACTCAGACATGAAGAGTAACAAAACGTGCAAGAAACTAAGATTAACCAACACTGTAAATGGCAAGTTCCTCAATAGAAGGATCAAGCCTGTGAAGCAATCACCAGCAAGCGCATTCCCTACTGAGAGCCCTGTTCCAGTGACAGCTGGTGCCCCATGCCAGTTAATAACTATTTCATAAGAAAACAAACATTCTGCACAATGCGCTCACATTCAATACCTTAAAATCCTGGATAATTTGTCGCACTGCCCCTGGATCCATCAAGTTCACTTTTTCAAATTTAGGTCGCGCTCTCTTGTAACCACAGCCCACTGTGTTCCAGTCATTTTCCAGAAACTCCTTATATACAGCACGGCCAAGCAGTCCTGTTACCCCGGTGATCAGGACACGTCTGTCTGGCACGCAAGTTTCCACCTGCAACAAAAGATGCAACAACACACTCAATGCCTAACCATATTGCCTTTGAAACACACCCACCCATTCCAGCAAACCTCTAAACTGCTCCCAATGCATTGACATCCTTCCTTAACTAAAAAGAGACCAATACTGTACATAGTACTCCAGATGTGGTCTCACCAGAGCCCTGTATAATTGAAGTATAATCTTTTAGTATTCAACTCCCTTTGCAATAAATGTTAATATTGTATTAACTTTTCTAATTACTTGCTGTACCTGCATTCTAACTTTATGGAATTCATGTACTAGGATACCCAGATTCCTACGCAGCTCAGAACTCTAATCTCTCTCCACTTAGATAAAATGCTTTATTTTTATTCTTCCTGCCAAAGCGGACAATTTCACATTTTCCCACATGATATTCCGTTTGCCAGATCGCTGCCAAATCACTTAACCTACTTGTATCCCTTTGCAAGCTCATCTCCTCCTCACAACTTAATTTTTCTACCTACTGTACCTCCTGTCAACAAATTGGCAACCACACCTTTATCCAATTATAAAACGGTGAGGTCTCAGTACTGATTCCATTGACCGGGCACACACTGCATTTTGCCAACCAGAAGAAGACCCACTTATACCGACCGTTTCCTTCACCACTTTGATCCAGTTGCTTAATGTTGGTTTTGGATAGAAGTACCAGAGCCAGGAGGTTATCAGATCATTAAAACAGATGATCTGATATTTATCCCATTGTTGACTGTGGGATATTGGTGGGTGAAAACTATATATTGCATTTCCCTGTATAACAATAAAGACTGCTTTTCAAAAATACTTCATTTAGCTGTAAAGTGCTTTTGGACATCCTAATTTTATAGAAGGCACTGTAGAAAAGACACTTTTTTCAATTATAAAAGGTAAGTTATAATCTGAGACAGTAATATATGCATCCTCAGGAGCAGAGTGGTAGCAGTGATTGGCACAGACAGTGGCAGTGGGCAGAGTTGGTGAAGGCAATGGTTTAAAAGCTTTAAAAGGGGTCATGTGGCTCAGTTGGTTGGATGGTTAGTTTGTGATGCAGAATGATGTTGACAGGGTGGGTTCAATTCCCATACTGGCTGACGTTACCATGAAGGGCCCTCCTGCTGAACCTCTCCCTTCACCTGAGGTGTGGTGACCCCCAGGTTAAACTACCACTACTTCTCTCTCTCTCTCACACTGATACACACAGGCACACACATGGGAGAGCAGCCCTAAGCCTACGGCAACTTTGCCTTTACCTTTTACAAGCTTTAAGAAACAAATGAAGGATGAATTCATGTCAGTTCAACCAAAAATAGTAATGGAGATAGCAGCCTTAGGAAACTGCACAAACATGCAAACTAACACAATAAAGCATGAGAAATTTACAAAAGGAAGTCCCATATTCAATAAGGATACTGTTGTAGCAAAAACAAAAAAATGCTGGCACAAAAACAAGACAGCGGGAAGCCAACTACATGGACAAGAAAGAGTTTTAAGATGCTCTGTCTGTCTCTCTTTCTTCTCCCCCCGACCCCCACCCTCCCCCACCACCACCACCACCACCACCACCTAACAACACATATCCACTATGAATAGTGCCTTGGGATGCTTTACTGCATTGGAAGGTGCCACTTAAATGGAAGCTGTTGTTTTCCCCACATTACACAGAATTTCTGTTGACAAACTGCTAAGTTTATATGTTGTCCCTCACAATCAAAATAAGAGATAAAAGATCTTAACAGACCAAAACTGGGTGTGTGGCAGGTAGTGAAGGAACCTGGTAAAAATATTCCTGACTTCATCCTCACCAATCTTCGCACAACAGCATCAGTAAGAAAGACAATCACACAGTGCTTGTGGAGACAAAGTCCTACCTGCCCATTGAAAATATCCAATATTGTATTGTGTGATACTACCACCATACTAAATGGCATAGACTTTGAACAGATCTAACAACTTAAGACTGAGGATCCATGAACTCATGCAGGTCTGCAGCAGAATTAAAGGTAGGGCGAAGTTGCCATAGTCTTACCAGACCATAGGGTTGCTCTCTCAGACAGAGATGACTGGTAGTGGTTTAACCGGAGGATCACTACAGCTGAGGTGACGGCAGAGCTTGAGAAAGAGAGTCCTTCATGGTAACCTCAGCTACTGCAGGAATTGTACCCACAGTGTTGGCATCACTCTGCATCACAAACCAGCCATACAGCCAACTGAGCTAAACCTCCAACACAACGTGCAACCTCATGGCCCGGTGTATCGCTGACTCTACCATTATCAATAAGACAGGGGATCAACACTGATTCAATGAACCTTGCTGGAGGCCATGCCTGAAGTGGCACCAGCCATAACGAAAAAAAATGAAGGAGAAAATTGTTGGAATCAGTACTGAAAGCAAAAAAAAAAATGCTGGAGGTCACAGCGGGTCAGGCAGCATCCGTGGAGAGAGAGCAAGCTAATGTTTCGAGTCTAGATGACTCTCCATTAGAACTGAAGTGCTCTGATGAAGAGTCATCTAGACTCGAAACATTAGCTTGCTTTCTCTCCATGGATGCAACCTGAACCACTGATCTCCAGCACTTTTTGCTCTCAGTAATGAAAAATGAGATGTTAACCTGATTCTGCTGTCAAACAGCAAAAGCAGCAAGACATAGAGCTAAGCAATTCCACAACCTACCTGGCCAGATCCAAGTTCTGTAGTCCATAAGACACAGGGGCAGAATTTGGCCATTCAACCCATCAAGTCAACGACATCATGGTCAATCTGATCATTCTCAACTCCACTTTCCTGCCTTTTCCCATGATCCCAATTCCCTGACGGATCAAAAATCTCTTTCAACTTTGAATATACCCAACAACCCAGCCCCGACGGCCCTCTACATTAAACCGTAGTGCAGATCCTCTACTTCTGAGAGAAGAAATTCCTCCTCATCTCTGCATTAAATATGTGACCCCTAACTCTTAAGGTCATGCCCTCTGGTCCCAGACTCTCCCACAAGGGAGACAACCTTTCCTGCACATGCAGGCATGAATGGTGGTGGACAATTAAACAACTCACCGGAGATAGTGATACCACAAATATTCTGATGGGAATCAGAGGAAAATTTTGCTACTACTCAGTGTCATACTGGGTGCAAATGAAGACAGTTGTGGTTGTTGGAGGTCAGTCATTTCAACTTCAGGACATCTCCGTCAGAGTTTTCAGGGTAGTGTCCAAAGCTCAACCATCTTCAGTTGCTTCAATGACCTTTCCTCCGTCATAAGGAGGCGGTGTTAACTGATGACAGCACCATTTGTGACTCCTCAAATACTGAAGAAATCCGTATCCAAATGCAACAAGACTTGAACAATATCCAAGTGCTGGCTGAAAAATGGCAAGTAACATACGCACCACACAAATGCTAGGCAATGAGCATCTCCAAGAAAAGAGAACCTACAATCATCCCTTGGCACTCCATGGCATTACCATCACTAAATCCCTCAATATCAACATTCTGGGGGTTACCATTGGTCAGAAATTGAACTGCTACTAGCCATATAAATAATGTGACTTTAACAGCAAGTCAGAGGTTAGGGGTCCTGCAGTGACTGTTCAATTCCTGACTCCCCAAAGCCTGTCCACCATCAGTGTAATGGAATACTCTCCACTTGGCTGGATGAGTGCTGGACAAAAAGCTTGACACCATCCAAGACAAAGCAGCCCGCTTGATTGGCACTGCATTGAAAAACATTCACTCACCACACCCCACTCCCCCCTTAACATCACCAACATTCAGAAGTAGCAGTGTGTACCATCTACAAGATGCACTACAGAAATGCACCAGGGCAGCACCTTCCAAACCTACGTTCATGACCACCTAGGAGGACAACAGCAGCAAATACATCAGAATGTCACCACTTGCAAGTTCCCCTCCAAGTCAATCACCACAATGACTTGAAAATCTGTTGTTGTTCCTCGAGTGTCACTGGGTCAAAATCCTGGTACTATCTCCCTAATGGCATTATGGGTCTACTTGTATTGGTTTAAGAACAAAGCTCACCGTGACCACGACCTTCTCAAGGATAACTAGGGACAGAAAACTAATACTGGCACTGCCAGCAACCTCCACATTCCATGAATCAATGAGAAAAAAGGTCAGAGTATGACTCCCTCATAGTTGATGATTCGAAAATAGAACCTCAGGCTAAGGGATGGGCCATTTAGATCTGAGCTGAGGAGAGATTTCTTCTCCGAGAGGGTAAAGAAACTTTGGAATTCTCCATTCCAAATGGCTATGGATAGATGCTCAATTGTGGAAAGTGTTCAAGCCCAAGATTAATGCATTTGTGGGATCTGAGGCAATCAAGGAATATCAGGACAGTGAAGTGGCAATAAGAGGTCATCGCGAATGCTGTAGCAGGTCTACTCCTTTTTATTTATGTTCTCTAGTCACTTGTTTTCATTCAAGATTCCTGACACTAGACATTACAATAGATCCTTGTTATCCCAAATGAGATTAATATACCCCACAGATCCTCTCCAAGTGCTCAAGACTTTGACCTGAATGAACTATTTCAGGTCAATCACACTGGCTGATGAAGACAGCTGTACATCTTCTGCACAATGAGCTATTATATCCACTGTGCAGACAGTAATAGTCATCTTCAAATGATTATATTCAAACCATTTTAAGATGTTGTTAAGAGAAACCGGACACTGCTTTATACAGAATTTAAGTCCATTGAACATAGTCTTTACCCAGGATCAGCTTATTACAGACTCTGTAAACTTAATTAAATACTGTTTGAGGGAGGAACATAAGCAGCCAACACGCTCACAGCATTCTCACATGAACAGAGATAAGCATTAGCCAATTATTTGTCACGATGGTTGAGAGATCAGTACAGGCCCAAGAATACATGGGAGAACGCTCAGGTAATGGGGATGGAGAAGAGGCAGCAGCAACTCAGCTGTCCCATATCCAACAGGAAAGCCCAGGGGAGAGGGGAGTCTAATAATTGTCTCCTCCTCACCGTATCTTAGATTGAAGCCAAGTTTTGAGTAAAGGAGTTGGGAGGTCATGTTGAGGCTGTACAGGACATTGTTTAGGCCATTTTTGGAATACCCCATTCCATTCTGGTTTCCCTGCTATAGAAAGGATGTTGTGAAACTTGAAAGGATTCAGAAAAGATTTATAAGGATGTGGCCAGGGTTGGAAAGTTTGAGCTATATGGAGAGAGTGAATAGACTGAGACTACTTTCCCTGGAGTGTCGAGGCTGAGGGGTGACCTTACAGAAGTTTATAAAATCATGAGAGATGTGGACAGGATAAATAGTCAAGGTCTTTTCCCCAGGGTAGGAGAGTCCAAAACTAGAGGGCATAGGTTTAAGGCAAAAAGGGAAAGATTTAAAAGGGGCCCAAGGGGCAATTCTTCATTGCAGAGGGTGGTGTATGTATGGAATGAACTGCTGAAGGAAGTGGTGGAGGCTGGTACAATTACAACATTTAAAAGGCATCTGGATGGGAATATGAATCAGAAGTGTTTAGAGGGATACGGGCCAAATGCTGGCAAATAGAGTGAGATTAATTTAGAATATCTGGTCAGCACGGATCAGTTAGACCAAAGGATCTGCTTCTGCGCTGAACAACTATATGTCTGTATAACTGGTCAATTTGATCTTAAACTTTGCTGATGACAGATTTATCATAACTGACCTACACTGGCTCTCAGTAATGCCTCAATTATAAGATTCTCACTCAACTCTTTCAAACCTTTGCAATTTCCTTCAGAAATTAAATTCTCCATAATCTTAGATTTCCTCTAATGCTGGCATGTCCCCAGTAGTCTTGGCTCCATTATTGGGGCTGTGCCTTCATCGCTTAGGATCAAAGCTCAGAAATTTATCTAAGCCTCTCCATCTCCTCTTCCCCACCACCTCCGACCCCACGCCTCACCAGCTCAAGAACGCTCCTAAAATTTTGACCAAGCCTATTACCAAAGTGTACAGGATAATGCTTCCATGAAACGTCTTGTGGCATTCATGCATGTTAAAATTAGTAGATAAATGAAAGTCATTTAATTGTATGTTCCAGAAAGTTTCAGGTTTTCCTGAGAAACGCCAAAGCACTCATCTTCAGGTCTCTGAGATATCCTGAAGAGACTGGCATTGGTGTGAAAGAAAACAGAATTTTCAGTGTTGAGATTGTTTTGCATGGACTGGTTGGACTGAAGGGTCTGTTTCCATGCTGGAGATGTTTTAAAGGCAATTATTCATTACAATATGGCAAAATGCTGAAGGTTACCACAGGCTACTGAACCAGAGGCAGAGACCCAAGTTTAAAAAAGATAAAAACTGCTCAGATTATATAAATAAAACTTAACACACAGAAGTTGCATGGAATATGTGGAATTGTCCCCAGAGAGTCAGCACAACAAAAAGCATTGCAAAACATATGGCAGGATGAACATGTATTTGAGGGAGCAGGCCAGAACATTCAAACAAATTCCAGAATTCTGAAAGAATGTATGTATTCAGCATACTCCAAGGCCTCAGGTCACTTCAAAGCTCTTAAACAGTCAACGAACAGTCATTGTTCTAATACAAGAAATGATGTGGGAGGTGCCGGAGTTGGACTGGGGTGGACAAGGTCAGAAATCACACGACACCAGGCTATAGTGCAACAGGTTTTATTTGAAATCACAAGCTTTCGGAGCACAGACCCTTAGTCGTGTGATTTTTGACCTAATGCAAGAAACACAGCTGCCAATGCATACCTCAAGTTCCCAAAATCTGCAATTAGTTAAAGAACCACTTAATCTGTGCTAAGACTATAAGACAGAAGATCGTAAGTAGGCCATTCAGCCCACTAAATCTGTTCTGCCATTTAACAAGACCATAGCTGATTTGATGATCCTTTACTTCACTGTCCTGCCTTATCTTCATAACCTTCAATTCACTTACTGATTAAAAATCTTATCTATTTCAGTCTCAAATATGCTCAACAACCCAGTCCCGAAGTCCTCTGCAATAAAGAATGCCACAGGTTCACTACACACTGAAAACAAAATTCCTCCTCATTCATTTTAAATGGACAAACCTTACTGAGTTTGTATCTCTGGTCCTAGTTTTTCCCAGAAGAGTAAACAACCTGTTTGCATTTAAATAAAAGCCAAAAGAACAGCGGATGCTGTAAATCAGAAACAAAAACAGAAGTTGCTGGAAAAGCTCAGTAGGTCTAGCAGCATCTGTAAAGAGAAATCAGAGTTAAGTTTTGGGTCAGAACTGAGGAAGGGCCACCGGACCCAAAACGTTAACTCCAATTTCTCTTCAGATGTTGCCAGACCTGCTGAGCTTTTCCAGCAACTTCTGTTTTTGTTTCAGTTTACATCTAAGTCTCCTAAAAACCTTGTGGGTTTCAGTAATGTCTCGTCTCATTCTTCAAAATTTCATTGAGTTCAAGATTAATCTGTTCAACGTCTCCCAAGAAAATCCATCCATACCCAGGATCAGCAAAGTGAATCTTCTCCGGACTGCCTCCGACAGTCAATTAATCTTTCATGAGATAAGGGGTCCAAAAAGAGTTCACAGTATTCCAGGTGTGGTCCAACTAATGTCATGTATAGTTTTAGCAAGACTTCTCTATTTTTATACTCCATTACCATTGAAATGTAGGCTAATACTCCATTTACCTTTACCCTTACTGCAGAACCTGGAAGTTAGCGTTTCACGACTCATGTACAAAGACACAC